TGGGCCTGATTTACCAGTGGGCTGCTTACTTTCTTTCCACACAAGGTGTCTTAGTTACTTCTCTGTGCTGTGACAAAATGTCTAACACTCAGAGTGAAAAGAGGAAAGGGTTATTCGGCTCAGGGTTTGCAAAGGCTGCAGTCCTTACTTGGCTGGCTTCAAGGCAGAGGGTGGCACAGGGGAGAAACAGCTCACAGCGGGCAGAGGGCAGCAGCTGTAAAGTAGGAAGGTGGCCAGGGAGAAGCGGCCACAGCAGGTGGCTGTGCCACCTCGGCCACCGGCCAGGCCCCCACTCACACCCAGGGCCGGGGCACCCAAACTCCACCGTGGCACCATCCATCCATCCCAGCCTCACACCCTTCATGCAGGAGCACACTCTCCAGGGCCAGCCACCTCTGCAAAGCCCCAGCTGTGACTGCACGAGACTTTGAGAGACTTCTGGGTACAAGTCATTAACAAATTGTGACAACTGTGTGGTGAATGCACAGGTTAAAAATTTATTGCAGTAAAAGGCACATTGCAACGAGTCTACTTCAGAATACTCCTCCTGCTTCAGGCAGAGTAACCCATCACTCTGAAAGCCGTCTCTCATGTCTTTATTTACCAGATGTGACCAGAAATACAGTGAGTGCTGGTGCCAAAGGCTGCCGACGTAGGGGCAGGCTTGTAAAAAACATCACCAGATCCAGGGGCTGGGCATTTAGCTCAGCAGCATAAACACCTGCCTTGCAAGTATGTGGTCCTGAGTTTGATCCCTGGTACTGATAAAAAAGAAAAAGACAAAAAAAAAAAAAAAATCAGCAGATCTGGTGCCCTATAACTTCTGGTTCTTCCCCAAAGTCACAATGACCGTGACGGGTGAACCTTTGCAATCAATTGAGGACATGGAGGCTGCCATGGCAGCTTGACTAAAGACATGGCAGGGGACTCCAGCAGTACTTCAGAAAGGGAAGCCTTAGAGGGTGGAGGAATGGAAACGTGTCTCTTACTGTAATAAATTTTTAAACATTTAAACATTCGCTGTGAATTTTAATCACACTTCCTACATCCTGCCGTTACTGAAATTTCAAGTCTCCCCTCCACATCTCTCCAGCCCCCTCCTGCTCCTCCTGGTACTCTTCAAGTCCTTTCAGTTTTCACTCTGCAAAGCCTCCCCAGGAAGGCTTCTGTGTGACCCAGGCAAACACACTAGGTGTCTATGATCTCTGCGTCTGTTACGCATCTCTAATGAAGCAAGTTCTGAGCTGAAACACCGCTCGCTCGTACTTGGTAAGATAGAGACCAGGGAGTCAAGGGGTGGGTAGTACCAACAGGTTATTTGATGGATCTGTCTCTACCTTGTTAATCTATTGTTTCAGTCTTACTGCAATCACGGAAATATTTTTTAACGGTAGCAAAGTTTTATTAAAGATAGGAAAAGAGACAGGCCCTGCAGAGCAAGTTTGTATCAGGTAAAAGCAGGAAAAGAAATACACCCTACAGCAAAAGGACGGCTGCCCTGCAGGGGAGAAGGCACACAGCGACAGAAGCTCAGTGCGGCTGTCATGTTGAACAGGTCACACTTAATTCCCCAGTCAGCTTTTTAGCGCCCTAATCTCCTGTCTCGTTTCTCCCTGAGACACACACGTATTCCCATAATGCCTTAGGAGAGAATGGAGCTTCCTACGTTCTATGACTGGTTCCAGCTGGAGGGGGCTACAGACCCTACCTACTGGGGAGTACACACCCTCAAAGTACTCCGGGGTGCTGTGGCTCGCTGGCAGGGTTGAAGAAGGAAATCTAACAGAAGACAACAAGAAAAAAGTGACTATTGAGTTGGGCGTGGTGGCTCACCCCGTAATCCCAGCACTCGGGAGGCTGAGGCAGGAGAATCATGGCGAGTTCAAGACCAGCCTGGGCTACAAAGTGAGCTCAGGCCAGCCTGAACTGCACAGTGAGATCCTGCCTCAAAAAGACAGAAAAACAAACAAACAAACCAGTAACTATTCAGCTGTCTGTTCGATGAGAGAAAGAAAGTAACTACTATTATGTTGCTGATGTAGAAGCCAAACAGGAGCAGGTCACCCTTCCATGCTTCTCCTGGAGGACACAGCCAGGCAAAGAGGGAGGTTAGGGAAACTGTCAGGAGCCTGAGAGCCACAGACAAGGTAACTGCCCACACAGTGGATCTAACCGGAAACAGGAGCCTCAGCACTACTGCCCTTCTAAGCCCTAGTGAATTAGGGTCATTAGTGACTCTACCTACCTGCACCCAGAGCAGTGCTGGAGTCCTGCATTCTGGAGCGGAACCTCAGGTCCCCTGAGGTTCTGAGAATTAGTTTTCTTTTTCATCCTGTGAAAATTCTACTGACAGTTGCATGTGTAGGATTTTTATAGCTTGTCACAACATCCCTTGAGGAAGGACCAGAAGGTTTCTCAGGAACTGGGAATAAGGCTGGGGTCTTGAAGGAATTCTTTTTGCCTCCCCATCAGTGTTTTAACTTTCAAAAGAGGTTTTGGACAAATCCCTTTGGGATCCCTTGCAATGCTGGACAACTTGCTTGGAGAGATGGGTCATCTCCGGGACATTAGCAGCATGCGTGATGCGGTGGGCTGTGTGTTATCACTGAAAGCTCTAAGACGCTCATCATCCGTGCCCCAGCAGTTGTAAAATTTCCTGTTTGTGCTTTATAGATGATTGCTTATTAGTTTCTTTCCAGATTCCTGCATATGTATGTAGCACCAGAAAGACATTTAGAGTCTATATAGATATATTTTTGTCTTTTCTGGGCAGAGTTCTTGGCCTACCTTTTAGATCAAGACATTCCCAAACAATTCCTCTTTTCTGATATGTAGGGCAAGAGGGGTTTTCTTAAATCAGGTATTTTATTATACCACGCAGCAGAATCTACCTGTTGGCTAATTAGGGCAGGGAGACCTGGTATAATATAATAGGTAAAATCCACTTTAGCTTTTTTCCAGAATTTGAGAATCCCCCTAAATTTTGCTAGTAAATCTATTCCTAGCAAGAGAGTAGGACCCTATGGAACGATTGGAAAGTCATGGTTAAACATGTGACCTTCAAAGCGACACATCAGAGCTGGAAAAGGATCTCTGACTAGGAGTCCCCTCAGTCCCAACTGTGCTAAAGGTCTAGAGGAGACTTTTCAGAGAAGGAAGTCAAAACAGAGTGAGGTCATTGAACTGGCTCACCCACGGGGGTGTCCTGTGTCACCAGGATTCCTCACAGGAGATGGTGACATGCATGGGCAGGAGCATTGTAGATTCTCTTGTTTCTTTAAAAAGCAAAACAAAACACCACTAGGGATTTTATAAGGAACTTCTTTGGATGTAGTAACGCCTGTTTGTATTTCTATAACAAAATATCTGAGAACAGGTAATTTATAAAGAAGAGAAATTCATTTTCTCCGTAGTGACACCTCAAAAGTCCAAGATCAAGGTATTGGCAGTTTTGATGTCTGGTAAGAGGTGCTTTTTGCTTTCAAGGTGACCCCTTGAATGAGTTCTGCAGAGAACATAAAGGAAGTGGCCTCGCATTGTTCTCAGTATCTTCCCGCAGGACGTTTTAGAAGGAATCTAATTCCGTCCATGAGGACTCGCCTTCTGATTTAACCATCTCTTAAAGGCTCCACCCTCAACACTGTCATTAAATTTCAACACATGAGTTTCAGGGGACACAAAACACACCACCATTTAAAAAGCATCAAGACTTAACGATCGATGGGCACAGCGTGTCTTTCCATTTACTGAAGTTTTCTTTTATATCTTTCAGTAGTGCTTTGCAGCTTTTTTGGGAAATCTCCCATGTTTTTTAACAAATTTGCTCTAAATATTTTTCCTTTTTAAAACTCTATTCTAAATGCAATATTTTCTTAATTTCCTTTTTACTTAATTAGTGTATAAATCCAACTGGTTTTTGTGTGTTGATTTTACACACTCACTTTGTTAAGACAGTTTTTGTGGAGACTAAGTTTTTTTGTTGCCTGATCTGACAACTGAGGAGAGTGAACATGTTCCCTGTCTGAGTTACTTTTTCTCATTGCTGATACGAAACACCTGACACCCAGTGTTAAAAGAGGAAAGGTTTATTTGGCTCACAGTTTGTAGAGACTTCAGTTCATAGTTGTCCTGCTCCAAAGGTAGGTGGCAGGGCAGAGGGGCAGCAGCAGAAATAAGTGACAAGAGACCAAAGACGGATCCACAGTCTTCCTGTCCATCATGTGTCACCCAGGTGGGCTGCCCTTAGCCATCCTGTCCATCATGTGTCACCCAGGCGGGCTGCCCTTAGCCACCCTCAAGGCTAGTATCACACTGTGAATCAGTGCTAGCATCACCTTCTTGACCCCAGCAGCACGAATGTAGATCCAGCTTCCAGAAAGTCCCACCTATGACTGCATGAGGCTTTGGGCAGACGTCTAGGTACAAGCTGTGACGTTTTCCTGCTCTTTTTTGATAGGCACACACTAAACTGACTTTTACCCAGAGCCCTGATACTTACTGCATCTACTATGTTCTTTATTTCAAATATTTAGTATTTTAATATTGTACTTGATTCTTTGTTAGAATTTCCTGTTTTGTGCACTAATATCTTCATTTATTACCTCAAGGTCTGTTTCTAACATTAACTCTAATTTATGGCTGATGTGTTCTAATAACTCTGCTTTGGATGGAACGTGTTGTAGGCTTAATTTGCTTGACTTTCTTTCCCACAGGAGACACATTCCACAAGTGTTTAGTTATTTTATCTTTGGAGATCATGTTACTCTGGGTGTATTAACTACTCTAACTGGAAAAAAATATTGCAGGGCTGTCTTAGGTACTTTCTTATTGCTGGGACAAATACTAAACACCCAAAATCAAAAGAGGAAAGTGTATTTTAGCTCACAGTGTGTAGAAGTTTCAGTCCATAGTTAACTGGCTGCAAGGCAGGGGGGCATGGCAGGGGGTGTGGCAGGGGCGTGGCAGGGGCGTGGCAGGGGCGTGGCAGAGGGGAGACAGGCCACACTAAGGCAGGCAGGAGGCAATGAGCCTTCTTCTCCCTCTTACCCCATCCAGACTGCAGCCCTACAGGGTGGTGCCACCCACACCCAAGTGTGGGCCGGCCCATCATTCACAACCAGAACTATGCTAGACTAATTAATGGGGTAATCCAGTTATCACGCCTTAATCCAGTATCACACACCTATGATCCAGCCACTCCCAAAACCCCAACTGACAGTGCATGAGGCTTAAGGGACATTTTAGACATAAACCATGACAACACCATCACATGGAATCCATCAAGTTACCACCACTAAACAGAAAGAAGCGCTGTAAAGGTCACCACTTCCCTGGGTTTTTCTTTAACAATCATTGTGTTTTAAGGATATGGAAAAAATAAATCAGTATGCTCAGAAAGCTGGTCTGTACCTTCTCCATCACTTCATCTCCCTCAAAAGGCTCCTGTGCGGCATTGCTGTTTACTTCCAACCATCAACAGGGCTCTCCACATTTGCCCCTGATTTCTGGGTAAAGAGGACGTTAATGCGTGCCTTGCACTCAGCAGAGAGGAAAGTTCAGATGTTAAATCTTTCATCCAGCTTCTCCTGTCACTGAAACCTCAGACTGCTTTCCTGTTACCAGCTGCATCCTCTCCCCCTATTTCAAAATAGCCACAGGCGCCATCCCTCTCCTCTCTCCGCTTGCTGGCTGCTGTGTCCTCTGCCATCCTGTCCTGCTATGCCTTTTTTGCCTTCAGACTGACCATGGACCAGACCCACTGAAACTGTAAGCCAAAATAAACTTCTTTGACTTTAAATTTTGTATTGGGGGGGGGGGTATTTTGTCCCAGTGATAGAAAAGCAACTCATACAGCGTGCATGTGATGAAATTGTTCATCTCATGACTCAAATGGGAGAAGAGGGTGTGGGGATGACTGGGGCCGGAGACCGATCACACGTGCAAGCGTAAACCAAGGCCAGTCCTTGAATGCAGGCACCCAAGGTGAGCCTGTGAAGAAGCTATCCCAGCTCTGAGAACCTGCAAAGACTGAGACAATCCGCGCAAACAGGCTGCTGGCAGAGGACTCTGATGTGACATCAGCCAGACAAGGGGACGGATAAATGGTCAGCGAGCAGTTCCTGTCTTCCCGTCAGGAGAGCGGCCCCCAGCTGAGCTGCGCTCTCCGTCTTCTGAGTCGTGCCTTTAGTTTTCATCCTTCACCATCCTCCACCCTGAGAATTTCTAGAGCTAAAACGTGTTTAATTATGGGGATCATTTACCGTGGAAGGGAAGTGTTTTGATTTGTGCATGGATTGGTCGCCTGCACAACCAGCCCAGCGGAGTGCAGTGCTGTGGGAGGGAGGGGCAGGGGTGCGGCGGAGAGGGCCCCACAGTCCAGCCCTAGGCAGATTTACCCTGGATGCCCCGCTGCCCCCATGCCCACCCGCCTGCCACCAGCCCACAGCCCCTTGCACCTCACACCCATCCTAGGGCCTCACGAGCCACAGAGGACGGTCAGGCCAGGAATGACAGTAGCCGTGGCTGCACAGGAGGCATCACCCTGGAAGGGGGCACAGCAAAGCCAGCCTGGAGATGGAGCCCGAAGTGCAGGTGCCAGATGGCACAGCCAAGGGGCAGCAGTTCTCTCCTCAGGCTGGTGAGCTGCTGCCACCATGCTGCCAGGGGGACTCAGCCACAGCCCCAAGGAGAGGGGACAGGAGCCACAGCCAGAAGCAGAAGTGGCTAGCAGTAGCCTCGGGTGCCCAAGTGCAGGATATGATTTTTCTTCTGCTCAAAAGACCGAATTACAGGCTGCTATGTGAGCCCTGCAAGATTATTTCTACCCTCCAATAACCGCGCTCTTCTCAAACAGCGCCCTCCTTTGTGGTGTCAAGCATCGCGTTGGAGCTGCCACTGTACACACAGGCCTGAGGGTCTTCCGCATTTGTCGCACACTTTCCAACTAGCTATTCGGTTGCACAATTTCCCCTGTTTTATCAGTCGCTTATGCTCCTTTTCCAGCAGCCAGGGCCTCTCGCTCAGGTTAAACGCTGCAGTGGACAGGCAGGTTGCCAGCTCGTTACTGTTTCCCGTCGGGCGCCATTCAGCAGGCTTCTGCCTCCGAGGCCACCTTCCTTCACAATGCTGCTACCTTGCACAACAGTCCCTTTTAACTTGGGAACAGGCGTGACAACTCGTTAAACAATGTCGCTCATGCAGCACACATCTTCCCTCCTCCCTATAAAGGGTTAACCCCGTCATCTCTCAGGTGGATGCTACTCACTCACGGTCCTGAGTTCGGCCCTTTATGTTGCACCCACATTTCAGTAGCTGCTTCCTGAGGATGCGTTTCTGCTGCTGCTCACAGTGGTGAAGCAGCTAAGCACGCCATTGGTCATTGCTTGGACGCCTGTCGTACCCCTGGCTGCCTGCAGGCACTTCAGACTGGCAGTGGCCCAGCTTATGGAAGTGCTGCCTTCCAAGCATTCTGCACAGCTTTCCATGTTTCCCTTTCCGTGGGAATGCCCAGCAATCCGCTAGGTTAAGGGATTGCTGAGCGTGCTCACCATATGCCCCACATTCAGCTACAAAAGCAAAAGGAGAACCCTCACAATGGACCCTCAAAACCATATACCATTAACTTTTAAGTCCTGCTGAGATAAAACCACAGCAATGGAAGGACAATTCAGTCACGTAAAGGCAAAGAAGCTACGAAGCGTCCTTCAGCAAGATCTTCATCCTGCACAATGGAGAGACCCATCCGAATGCTAATATGGGGCTCACGGTATGCTCGTGTCTTTCCAGAGAACACTGAACGGCCTGTCTGGGTGCCAGACCACGCTGAGCAGCTGGGTCATGGGCCCAGACCCAGAGGAGTTGATTCCACCTTTCTAAAAGTTGATGCTCAGTCCTGGGGCAGGGATGCCTCAGAGACTGCACCACGGCGACAGACAAGATGGGGCTGTACCTGACTGGGGACCAATTAAAGACACTGGCCCAGGGTGCCCAGGAGACGGTCACCAGAAACAGGAGTCAAAGGTCTGAGGAGGTGATAGAGCACCTGGAGATAACTGATCTGGAATCTATGCAAAAGAAAGGGACACAAAAGTTATCAGCACTCTTAAAATGAAATACAAAAATTATATTATTTATAGATAAAAGGTTTTCTTTCAAATTCTTCTTATAAGAGATCTCTGCCAACTGACCTACAAAAATTCCGACCAGTCTGTTTATGATTACAAACTTCTAAAATTGTAAAAGAGTTATTATAATTCCATTTGGCCAAAAATATATTTGAGTGCACCGTAATATTGTAAGTGGATTGTTTGGTGTTAGTTTTTGTTTGTCCTATCTGTGAACATCTGTTTCTTATTTGAGTTCAATAATTTTTTCTCTTTTTTTTTTTCTTTTGTACTTTCAGATCATCTGCTTAGAATTTAACTCGGGTTGTAGATTTAAAAATCATATTTCCACCTGGGTCGCCAAATGGTTTTCTCTAAGGTCATCAGAAATTTGTTAAAGGTAACTAAGTAGGAGCCCTTCGGCCTGAGGAATCATGGGCCAAGACTCCCTGCATGAATACAGAGTAGCTGCCTGGACATACCTGTCCAGTTCCTTTTCATCAGTAGGAAGCCCCAGTGATCTCCAGAGCCTTCCGGGAAACAGCCCGGAAGTATTACTTAAAATGCATATTGCGGCATGTTTACATTGGTCACTGTCAAAAGATTAAATTTTCGAGACAATAAGGTTTTGATTTGAAGGTGCTCTGATACAAAGCTTTCGTTTGGCTTTGACCATCGGTCATTATCTGCCTTGTGGTGTGTTAAGTGTACACCTGTTCAGCCTCCAGCTGCGCAGTCCTTCCAAGATGTGAAACACAAATTTTTATGGCGAGAGACTCCTTTCAGGTTCGGGCCTCTGCCTTTAACAAAAGCTTAGGTGTGTGCATCTGTTAAAGGCCACCAAGTTAGGTGAGAGCCTCTGATGTGCTCGATAGGGACAACTGAGTCAGGGCTATTTCAGGACACAGTGGGCATCCAGGTGGGTGTGAAGCTGTCGTGATTGTCATGTTACATTATGAATGGCTCTTGATTTCAAGTTTTCTGTGCAAAACTATCCAACTGTTGTCTGTTAAAATTTCAGAGATTTGACTACTGGAACATCCACGGTTGGTGGGAATTTCAGCGTGTGATATTCAGGTAAAGTTATAACACTGAGCTCACCGCTCCCGTTACAAGGCAGTGGCGCAGTGAGTTCATTTACCGTCTCTCCTGAGGTTTATAAATCAAGAACTAAAAACATATGGGCCGAGAGAACAGCCAATTTTTTGGCTCTGGCCCTCTGTGATCACTGAGCACCCGTGAGTGCCCTGTCTTCTGACCAAGTAGGTGAGAGACCACAGAAGGAAGTGATCCTGATGTACAGTGTGCCTCAGGACTCATGAGGGGGGCAGCTAAGCGACCAAACCTGCACCGATGAGGGGCCCATGCCCACACTCAGGGCAGCCCAGCCCTGCGGGATGAGCAGTGCCCCTCCCCAGCCCCGACCCCAGGGCACCACCAACCTCCCCTTCCCAGCTAGCGCTACATTTGCTTCTGCACGGCACGGGGGCAGCACAGGACAGGACTAGCCAACCAAGCTGATCCCCATGAGATCAGTACCTGAGGAGAGAAACATAATCAGACCCCATGACTGTGGCATTAGGTCTGACAGCTGCTGGAATCCTACACAGCAACCTCCGTCCTGCAGAGGTCAGAGGGCTAACCGTGTTCCCCAGCCACGAAGGACACACCTTGGCCTGGACGGTAACCACAAGCTGGAGGGAACAGACGAGGGGTGCCTCTGGTGCTGGGGCACCTCTAAAACCCACATCCCTAAAGCTAGGCGTAGAGAATCCTGGCAGGCTGGATCCCAGGACTGCAGATCCTGGAGGGAACCATTCACTAAGTAACAAGAAGTTTGGTTTTGCTTTTTAAAATTTTTCTACTTAGGATTATTTTTATCTTTGTTTTATGAGGTTTTGGCGGGTTGGTGTTTTTTCCTCCATTTTTCCTCTTTTAGCTTTTTAAAAAGTCTTTTATCTTTTTTTCTTTCAACTTTGTTGTCTTCTAATACCGATTTTATTCCTGTTTTTGCTATTTATTTATTTTTTCTCTTTGAAACAGGGTCTCACTCTGCAGTTCAGCCTGGCCTGGAATTCACTTTGCAGCCAGGCTGGCCTCTGAGACCCGGGTGTCAGCCTCCCGGGTGCGGGGACTACAAGCCTGGGCCACCACGGCCGGGCGGTTGTGCGTGCGCATCTTCCCGTGAGGGTGTCTGTCACTAAGAATCCCTTTCACTCCTCAGCAGATGCCCTGTCTGGCTTTTCTCTCCTCCTCCCCGTCCACCCCGTCAAGCACTCCTGTCCTGCTGCCCACTGTGCAGCTGAGTGCCCAGGGTTGCCCATAACACACGCTGGGACCTGCACTGCTTCACGGTTCCCTGTTTTAACATCCACGCGGGCCTGGCTTCTTCACCTTTGGTCTCTGTTACCCCTTTCTGGGTTACTTACACATAAAAAGATCTGATTAAGCAATGAAGTTGATTATATGTGGTAAGGAAAAATGAGAGGGAAAGGCTTCGCTTTGTTTCTTTCCTTCTTACTCAGATTCCAAGAAATAAAATTTTAAAAATGTTTTCCTGGAACAAAAATTCCTTCTATCGGCCAATATCCCTTCCAGGGTTTCCTTAAGCCTCCCGAAGCCAAATGACAGTTCTGGTACACAGGGTCCGGCGGAGCAGAGGGAGCTGGCTCAAGAAATGGGTTTTGGCTTGATGTTTGTATGACTCCTCGATCGCCATGTCCTTTGGGTCACCCGCAATAACCTCGCGTGTGGAGCTCGCCAGCCTGGCCGTCCCTCTGCCACATCCCCTCCCCAGGAGCATTGTACCTCTCAGCCCGTTCTAGGGCTCCTGATAAGCTTTCCCCTCCATTTCTGCCTTCTTTTCCTACCGTTAAAGCATATACTCTGGGCTGGGGGGTTAGCTCAGTGGCACAGTTCCTGTCTGGCAAGGGGTCCTGTCTGTGAGGTCCTAAGTTTTGATTCCCAATCCAAAAAAACAAAAATAAACAAACAACAACAAAATACATATTCTCTCTAGCCCTCAGTCCTAGCCACTGCAGAAAGAGGAGGTCACGCTCTATGGGGCGCTTTAAATATAGGGTCCTCATTTGTCACCACAGCATCCCCACGTGGTTGGTATCACTATCCCTGTCTAATGACTGGGGAAATAAGAACCACAGAAATTAAGACAGAAGTGAATTTTAAGCAAAATATAAGGTCAAATTCCATTTGGTAGGAGAAAGGAAAGCCCAGTATTGCGGTCACAGCAACAGTAGCAAGGCCAGTAAAGCTCTAGCATGAAACAGAAAAGAGGGGAGATTAAAAAAAAACAACTTTGTCTCCTTTTTAAAGACTCTTGCACATTCAGTCTATTTATGCTGCAGAGGTGCGTATCTGTCCACGCATGAGTACCGCATTTCTGTCCATTCATCCGTGATGGACGTGTAGGCTATTTCCAAGATGAAGCTGTCATGCACTGAGCTGCTGTAAGCATGGGTAGGGATTTTTATCACTGTGATAAGACATCTTTAACTCTTGGGAAAGATACTTAGAACGGGAAGAGCTGGGCCAAATGGGATTTTTAGTTTCTGTGTTTTGAGGAATCTTCATACTGACTTCATTATGGTTGTACCAGTTGACATTCCCCAGCAACACAGGAGGGTTCCTTTCTCCCAGCAGCCCTGCCTGAACTCGTTATCATGACTTGATAACGCAGAGTGACTTTTTTTTATACTTGAGGTCTTTCCATGAGCCATGATCTCCAACTAATCACTGGAAAAACATTGAACAAATTCCAACCATTGGATGTTCCACAAAATATTTAACAAGCGTTTCTCAAAACTATCATTAAAAATTAGAAAATCTGAGAATTTGACACAGAAAATGGAAGCCAAAAAATAATGAGAAATAAATGTCACATTGTGTCCTGGATGAGATTCTGAGATACAAAAACAAGCAATTACTTAAATTCTAGTTAACGATAATGTACTCGCATGTGTTGAGTAATTTCAGCAAGAGTACCATTGTAATACAAAATGTTACTACTGGGAGGCAGAGGGTACAGGCCAGATGGTGCCTTTGTGAACTCTCTTAATTTCTTTGTAACTCTTCTGTAAATCAACTTTAAAATAAGTTTATTTTAAAATTTTACTCTACTACATTATTTTGCACAATACAGCTAAGATGAAGTGTAAAATCTAAATATTTTCTCCTTATATTTAAACAATAAAATATGTAAAGCACTCTTATATTTCAATTCAAACTATAAAATAAATATTTCGAAACCCAAGCTAGCTGAAATACATGATTGTATGGATGGATAAATGTCAAGAGTAGATGAATCTGTGCACAGAAAAATCTCAGGTAATTCTTGTATCTATTTCGCCCTCCAGGAAGTAGGTCTTCACCCCAATGTTTGTCTTTGAAAGCTCTTACAATATTCCTTTGCACTTAGGAATTTTAAATTTGCTATAACTTCAGATGTGGCTGACGACATAACTATTTGCTCCTTGTGTTGGAACCCTAGAATTTTGACCGTAATGTGTTATGGAGAGGTTGTTTTCTTTTTTCTTTTTTGGTACCGGGGATGGAACTCACGACCTCATGCTTGCCAGGCAGGTGCTTATGCCACTGAGCAAAATCCCCGGCCCTGAGAGGTTGTTTTCTGAGCATAACTATTTAGAGTTCTATATGCTTTATTTATGTGTGCATTATAATCTTTCCCCATATTTGGAAAATACTCTGCTATTATTTCAGTAAACAGGTATTTTATGCCATTTGTGCTATTTTCTAATTTTTCACTAATTCTCATTTTTAGAGTAGTCTTCTTTGTGTCACCTGGAAGCTATTGGGTCCATTTTAATGTTTTGGGAGAAGGGGTCTGGTTGTGTTAAAGTATTTCTCATTAATCCAATAATGTCCTGTCTTCAAGGCCAGATGCTCTGAACTCACCTTGGTCACTTCCGCTGCCATTACATTTGACAGACAGAACTTTTAATTTCCTGAATTTCTATTTGGAGCTTCTTAAGGAGTCTAATTCTTTTCTGCAATAGTCGTGTTATTTTTTTCTCTCGCTGCTGAGACAAAATACCTGCCACTGAGGGTTAAAGCAGGAGAGGTTTATTTAGTCATAGTTTATAGAGGCTTCAGTCCATAATCAGCTGGCTCCAAGCCCAGAGGAGCCTTGGAGAGGCTGAGGAGCATGAATGGCAGAGGAGCCACCATTCACAGGGGCAGAAGACAGCAAAAGTGACCAGAGGAGCAGACAGGGTTCTTTCTGTCCCTTCTACTGTATGCAGAGTAGCTGCCCTGGGGCAGGTGTAGCACTGAGGTTGGCTGGAGCTCTGGTCCTTACCTTGAGGGTTGTAATGGTTGATACATTGTGTCAACTTGAGAAGTCTACAAATTAACCAACTCAGCAGGGCTGCAGCCCAGTGTATGAAGACATGTCCTTACCACACTAGGAGGCTGTGCACTGTGTGAACTTGAAAGGTTTAAAAGTTTAATTAAATGACTTAGCAGGGGGCAGGGTCCTCACTTTGTAAACATCCCGAGGCTGTGCAAGAGGAGGGCACAGATGGTGTGAGTGCTACCCCTACCCAGGGCATTGGCCCCTGGCCCCGGCGCAGACCCTCAGCCTGCTGGCCACAGACCCTTCATCCCGCTGGTGCAGACTCTCCAGCTTCCACCACTGACTTTTGGGCCTTCCCAGGGCAGATCCTTGGTACAGACTCATATGAGATGCTGTCATGGGCTCCAGGCCTCCAGCTGGACTCACAGAGGACCTTACTATGGGCTCTAGGTCTTCAGCTGGAAACGTGCAGGACATTACTGTGAGATTCAGGCCTTCAGCTGGACTCTGGGGGTCTCTGGTGTGTGGACAAATCTCTTGCCCTCTTTTGCATTTGACCCTTTGAATGAATGTTATAGAATAATCCTATAAATGATGTCCTGTATTCATTGTTTCCCTTGGAAACCTGAGTACAATTACTAGTCATGCATGTTTTGTTTTGTTTAGCTCTTCTCAATTTTTATTAGTGTCTTCTGTAGACTCTGAGATCATTTGTTTTTTGGCCAGATATCTTGTTAAGTATATCTCCTATGAGTCTTCCAAATGCCTTATTGAACCGTTTTGTTATCTCCCCTGATATCTTTTCAAATAATTTGGGTGTGTTCCCAAAAGGTTTCCTTCTTTGTAATGCTGCATAGATGAGCACTGGGGGACTTGGGACTTTTGGGGGGTATTTTCCTGTCTTCTCATGTTTCTGTGTGTGTGTGTGTTGAGGTTTTCAGGTTGATGGTAGTTGAAGGCTTTATTTCTAGGACGGAGATAGTATGGAGATCTCTTTAATGTCTACTTTTTAGTGATTTCCTCTGGGTGTGGTTAATTACTGGTCTTCCACTCTGTCTTAAGATAAAACTACCTCAGTTTACTTGAGATGGGAGGTTGCAGAGTTCCAGGAACAGGGCACAGTATTGGTAATAACCTAAGGTAACCCAGATATTGATACCCTAAGCCAATCAATTAATACCAATAGCTCTGCCACCTTAGCTACAGTAATAATAACATCTAATGCAAACTAAATATTGACAAACGCAAAGGACAAATGAAGTCCCACCCTTAACCATGGAACAGAGACCTGTAATTACAGCATGAATTCTAAGATAAACCAAGTATCTACTCGGTAGAAAAACTTCATCTTTGCTAACAATAGAAGAATATTCAACAACAAAAAAGCAAACTATCTAGAGATTGTACTATGCTACTAGAATTTGAAAAGTTAATCAGTGTAGATACAGTGAGCTCTGGGGTGAGCGGGTGGCTCTCAGATGGTCACACTGTTTTCCACCTTGCTAGGTTGAAGGTACTCATAGGGCAGGTCCAGGCATGCGTTCCGGACCTCAATGTCTTTGTCCATGGTAGCCAGCTCCTCCTGGAACTGCTTCAGCACAGCGTGGGGCTCGAGCCCTGAGAAATATTCCTCCTTATGCTTCCCCAGGGGTACCTGGTGTGGGGCAAGATGGCTCAGTCCTTTGGGCTCCTCACCAAGAATGCTCCAAGCAGCAACCCCCACCCCCACCCTACCACCTCCATGACCTAGGTGCCTGCTTCTAACCATGACAGGTTGGCGTCTCCCCAGGAACTTGATGATCGTCTTCTGTGTACGGGCTTGGTAGAGATTAGGCAGTGATTTCAGTATGTCCTTTTCTGTCACATCCTTGGAGGTAGGTGGGGGTTTCCTCATGGTGCAAGGGCCATTAGGGATCCAGGAGTACCAGTCCAGCTGCGGGTAGGACAGCCACGCAGAAGCCAAAGTTATAGCTCAGACGTTCGGACACCTCCCTCCCATCTTCTGCATCCCCGCAGCCAGAGGGAACATGGGTTACCTGGCCGAGGTGGGTGGACGCATGCTGACCAGTACATGTGAAGATGCACATGGTAACAAAGTCACAGAGCTGAGCCCGGGACTCTAAGTGGAGGGGAAACCTGGGTGACATGGGCAGAGTGAGGAACCTGAGACCAGGGCTGGAGACAGGTCTACAGCAGGAGTCAGCTGGGTGTACACGAAAGAACTGGACGTCGCCCTGACCTCTAGATGCTACCGTTCACAGAGAGTGCACGGAAATGTAAATGCACCTGGAGTGGACCCGGGAGCTCTAGGGGAGGAGCAGGAACAAGAAAGGGAAAATGACTAAAATCATAATGCGATTCCAGAAAAGGCTCACACTGCCTGAGAAGGGCGCACGCTGTCTGCGAAGATGTGTAAGGAGAGCGGCTGGAGAGATCAGGAGCGGCTGTTAGGATTCCTGAAAGCTCAGGAGAATCAAAAGTGTCTCACGCTGTGGGAAAGGTGGGTTGTTGGCAGCGGGCTGAGACAAGGTAAGGGGGTAAGGGCGGGCGGCACAGACGCCTTACCCTCGGTCCTGGGCCCCCTGCAGTCCAACCTCGGTGATTTCTCTGCACCACGCCTGCAGCTCGGGGTCCTGCTTCACAGCTGTATCACTCTTGTAGAAAAGCCCGACCATCCCAGTCACGTACCTGTTCCCGAGGGAAGGAGGAGATGGGTCTCAGGCAGCCAGCACAGGACCTGCAGTGTCCGCAGCGTGTCCCTCTCTGACCCCCTCTCACCGACTGATGATCCCCCACAGCCTGAGGGCATCTTGGCCATAGAGAGAAGACTTGACATCTGAGAGCCCTCGGTCAGCCAGGTCATCAGGAGGACAGAAGGAACGGTAAGTCAAGTGAGCTGAGGCCCTCTGGAGAATGTCCACATGGCCCCCACTCCCTGTGCTCACCACCTGAGAACAGAGTAGGGTTGGCCACACCAGGTGAGAACCAGGCCGTTATTCAGTCGCAGGGCGGATCACAGGAGGCCTCTGGTGGAAGCAGCAGAACTTGGGGGCAGACGGGATGCAGGAAACCACCACTGAAATTCTTCTAACATTGAACCCTCCTCCCTTTCATGCAGCCCTTCCATACCAGATCAAAAATTCCAAATTTAGAGACAAGGCTACTCCGGGCCAAGGCGTTGATCTCCATGGTGTACTGGAAGTGGGGGATCAGGAGCTGATGGTGAGGGAAAAAGGGGGAGCACAAATGAGATTTCCCAGAATCCAAAATGGGAAGAGAAATGAAAGGGCTGGTCATTTGAAGAAGCAGGAAAAGGGAGAGGCTGTCGTGGTGAGAGGTAAAACCTGGGAGAGAGTTAGAAAAATATTTCTTGGATCTTCCAAGATCAAAGTTTTAGGAGTTCACTGATTTCTCATCATCTTCCTCAGAATTGTAGGAATTCCTGGTTCACACCACAAAATCCAGCAGGCTCCAGCATGAGCCCATCTCCTTTTGAATTCCTAGTGCTCCACCCACCCCTCACATCATGCGAACATGCCCAGCACTGACACCGGCGGAAGGAATCTGCCTGGCCCCGCCCTCTCCAGCAGGCTCTTGGTCTCTCAATTCCTCTTTTCAAAAGCCCCTGCCGCCACCTGTCCAGGGCACAGACTGTCCAGTCCACACCAAGCAGGCTTCCACACTGACAAGGCCAGATCCAGTACCTGCCGCGCACGTCTGTGGCCCCCGAGCCAGATAGCTCTGTCTGCTCTTGAAACACTCTTCTCCTGGCTGCCATGAACCATGTTGTTTGTTTAATCACAGTTGGTGTCTTTTTTCTTGTGCCTTTCTCACGCCACTTTCTCTGCTCAATTTGTAAAGGCCGGGACACCCTAGAATTACACCCCGGGCCATATGTTCTGCTGTTTACTAACCTTGGGAAATTTTATTTAGTGCAGTGGTTTTAGACACTTCTGTTCCCAGTAGCTCTAATCAGTCCTGACCTCTTCTAGGAATTCCAGGCCCCTCTATGCAGTGGCTCTTCTGACATTTCCAAATGGATTTCTGTAAGTACTAGGCACTCCCCACGGCCAAACGGGGCTCTTGTTTCCTTTCCCCACCAAGTCATAGAATTTTCCCTCTCATCTTCTCCTGCTTCCCTTTCCTCCTCCCCAACATTCCAACACCCCCACCCCCACCCCCACCCCCACCACCCCCAGCCCTGTACCTCAGCCTCACCTTACATCACCATTACCCATACCCCTGTCACCCCTCACCTCTGCTACCCCTTACCTAACAACTTCCTCGGGCAAAATTCCAGCTCCTAGGCAGCATAGGCACCTGCCCAGCAAGTGTGAGGTCATGAGTTCCATCCCCGGTACCAAAAACAAAAACAAACAAAAAAACCCCATCTCCTTTGTAAAACCTGTTCTCTTTCCTCAACTCATAGCAAATAGCACACTGTTGCGTGTGGACATGCCTCTGTGTGTGTGTGTGTGTGTGTGTGTGTGTGTGCACGCGCGCACATATCAACTAAGACTGTGGCCAACCTAACCTGGTGGCTACCTTGTTAGAACCTGGGTGCTGAGCCTGGCAGTGTGAGGGGAGGGTAGTTAGATGCAGAATGACAGAGATTCACAAGTACCTTGTAGATAGGATGTAGGCTGGGCAAGCTCCTCTTTGTGGCCACGGAAATCACCTCAGCCACCAGGTGTCCCCTTAGCAGATGCGACTGTAACTGGTGCAGCTGGAAATCGGAGCTACGGACCCATATCTTGGCCAGGAGCCAGGCCATGGGGGGATCTGAAGGCAGGAAGAGCGGAGGCGGAGGCTGTCCCCATCGCGGTGGCTGGAGCTAGCAGGAGAGAGCGCGGCAGCTGAAGGCCTGTGTCTTAGTCCCCAGAGGAGATCAGTACACATGATTTAGCTCAGCAGCAAAAACACCTGCCTTGTAAGCACAAGGTTGTGAGTTTGATCCCCCAACCCACAGGAAAGCAAACAGGGCCCTTTTACCTGGATGACCATGGGCAACAGTCTCCCGTCTGGCTGTAGCTTCAGCATGACCAAAGGGGCTGCCACAAATTGCTGCTTGAAAATGATGATGTTTGGCGTAATCCCATCCAGCAGGGAAAAATCAGCTTCAAACAGAGAGCCTGCCTGTAGGGACCCGAGCAGGCACAGAGGTTTGGGGGTCACTTCTGGATCTCTCAAGGTGAACCCTTCCTCAGCCTCTGCAGCTCACTTTAAACACCAATTGTTTGCCCCAGAACCAAAGCTCTGAATGTGGGATTTAATATTCCATATTTTCCCCCTGACTTCACACATCGTTTCCTTCATCCTCTCCTCCCACACGGAGAGGTCTAGCCCGCCAAGGCTTCTTTCAGTCTCCTTGCTGTTCCCCTCCAGGCGGAAGCTTGCATTTTGTTTTGTTTTGTCTTTTTCTTTTTTATCGGTACCAGGGATCGAACTCACAACCGCCTGCTTGCAAGGCAGGCGCTTATGCTGCTGAGCTAAATCCCCAGCCCCTTGGCAGCTTACATTTTTAAAGCTGAGACTGAGATACATTTCAGAAGACATGAAGGTGGGTGAGAAGGAGAGGTGGGAAAGGAGATTCAGGAAAGACTGTTCCGATCAGCTCTCAGCAGGGGTGATCTTGTGCCCCGCCTAACATCTGACAGTGTCTGGAGACCATCTGGGATCACAGCTGGGAGACGCAGCTGGTACCTGGCAAGTAAACCCAGGGGCCAGTAGTAAGATCCTGTAACTCAGAACAGTGCCCTACTACAAAGAACGATCTGGTGCCCAAATGGAGGCCTTCAGTGCAGGTAAACGAGAATGCAGGTGACGGTGGTGTACATGGAGCAGACAGAGGAGGAGGAGACGGAGGAGGAGGAGGAGGAGGAGGGGGAGGAGGAGGGGGAGGGGGGGAGGAGGGGGGAGAGCCGGTGCCAGCGAGGGCGGTGGTGCACCGAGGAAGCCGGCACCTGAAGCTCCTTCTCCAGCTGTGTGCGCAAGTCTTCCATCCCTGGAGGCAGCAGCAGCCGGGCTGGAAGGCTCCTAGAGCGCCTCAAAAGCATGGGGTTTGCTCCATTGAGGAACTGGTACCCAAAGAAGGCGTCGTCCTTCCAGCAATCACAGACCCGCTCTGAGGACAGCAGGGAACCGCGCGTGTGAGCTCTGAGCTCCGTCCGCCCGCTGCCCGACGGCTGCTGCGCTCCCGGCCGGCCTCTCGGATCCCTCGGGTGGAACTGTGCAGGGGAGTGTAGGGAGGGCGCGGTGACTGACCAGCCAGGAGAGTCCGTTCACGAGGGAGCACTTGCTTGAAATCCTCCAGGCTTTTTACACAAACTACAAGGTCCAATGGTCCCTTAATAGTCAAATCCATCAGCCTGTACACACACACAAAAAAAATAAAACTTAAAATTTAAAAATGCGCGCGAAGATCGAGAAAGATTCTACCTTGAAGCCTAAGAACCAAGTGTCCGACCTCGATGTGGCTCTCACCCTTTTGTCAGAGAAAAGGTGAAGTCCATGTTCTTATCCTCCAGGAACCTCTCGTCCCTCGGGAGGTCCTCCCGCGTCTGCCCCGCGATCGGCAGGATTAATCCGTCCTTCCACGAGCCCCACCTGGAGGAAGAACACGGAGCGCAAAGTGAGCGGGCAGCGGGTCTGGGATCCGGTAGGGGGCCCGCGGCGGTCTGCGACTCACCGGTACGCCCTCCTTCTGTCCTCCACCTCCTGCTCCCGCTGGCTCTTAAACAGGCCCTGGGGGTCGTCACTCACCGTCCGGGCTGCGGGGCGGGGACACGGGCTCGCGCCTGCCCTCCCGGACTCTCCCCAGCCCCACCCTGTAACTTCTGTCTCCCCCTCGTTCCCATTTACTGTCCAGCACAGCCCCCCCCCCCCCGCCGCTGCTGCCTCCAGCCGCACCCGCGTGCCCCAGCGCCCACCAGTGCCCTCCGGCAGGCAGACGATCCCGTTGCCCTGCACCCAGCGGTAGCAGGGAAAGAAGGCCTTGTCCGCGCTCCCGGGGCCCTGAACCGCGACCCACTTGCAGAACCAGTCGATGTCTTGCAGGAGTTTCTGTTTGCGCAGCTTCACCATCAGGAGGCGCCCCAAGTGTAGAGGGACCTCGAATTCCGTCTTACTTTCCTGAGCGACAGATCGCAGCTCAGAGCGGGCAGCCGGCTCCGGGGGCCCCCGGGGGAGCCTGGCCCCGCGTGCCCCCCGCGCCCGGGACAGTCGGGGCCAGTGAGCGCTCACAGCCTCAGCGTCCTCGGTCGCAGGGCGCCCTCTGCGCCCCCCTGCGGCCCCCTGCCCCCCCCCCGCCCCGGGTCCCCGCCGCACTGACTCTGCCTGGCCGCGGCGGCAGCAGCCACCCGAGGGGCGCCTCCCCGTGCTCGCCCACCAGCCACAGCCGCACGTGGTTGAGTGAGCCCGCGCAGAGCGAGTGCCCCGTGGCCACGCAGACCGTGTACTTGCCCATCTTGCCGGGACCTAGCCGGGGACCCGGGAAGTCGCCACTTATAAGGCCGAGACCCGCCCCGGGCCACGGCTCCCTCCGCTGCTCCCGCCTCTGCGCCCGCCCGGGGCGCCTCCCCAGCAGCCTCCGGGTGCCACCGCCGCACCCAGCCCGGAGCTGCGCACACGACGCTGGACAGCCATCGCCAGGGTCACCCCGCCCTTTTGGTGGGAAGCAGTGAATGAGACGGCGGCAGGTAAACTGCTCGGTCTGCCCAGCCGTGGGCCGCGCTCCCTTCCCCAACACGGTGACCAGGAAGAAAAAGAAATGGTAAACCCCCGGGGATTTTCCAGGCCCGGCTCTGTGAGGTACCCAGGGGCCTTCCAACAAATCCCCATTTGTTGCTCAAGTCAGCGCCCAGAGGGTTTCTACAGCGCTCAGCTCTGCTGCATGCAGCCCCCCCCCCGCCCCCCATCCCATCAGGAGTCACAGGAATTGAGGCCAGAAGGTAAAGAACCAAGCAGTGACAATCTAGAGAGTTGAAGTATAAATATGAATTTGGCATCCTTTTTTAATCGTGTTTTGCTTGATAGTTTATTGGCCTGAGCTCGCGGGTTTTCGATCATTTTTATTTAGTAGCGTTGTCTTATTGCAGGTTGCTTCTTCCCCTCATTCCCAGAGCTGCGCCCGTCCGAGGCGCTCCTTGCCCGGGTCCTGGCCGAGCTCCACTTCCTTTCCGATCTGAAGCCTCTGAGTAAAGGAGAAGGCTGCCCTGCTCCCATTCTCTGTCTCTCTGTCTCTCTGTCTCTCTGTCTCTCTGTCTCTCTGTCTCTCTGTCTCTCTGTCTCTCTGTCTCTCTGTCTCTCTGTCTCTCTGTCTGGCTCTCTCTCTCTCTGTCTCTCTCTCCTTCTTGCGTTTAGTTTTTAACTGATCCATAAGAGCATAAAAGTTGTACACATCATGTGGGCCCTGGTAACGCGTGTACATGGTGTAATTTCTAAATCAGGTTTAACGTATTTATGTTCTCAAAGACTCATCCTTATTGTGGTAAAAATTTTCATGATCCTTTCCCTCTGCTTCTTGAAGTTAGAAGTCCAGTGCACGATCTGTAGTCCCGGTACTGTGCCTTTCTCCTCCCCACTGACCGACCGCTCCTCAGACCTTCTCCCAGCCTGTCCTTCCCGAGCTCCAGCAAGCCCCGGTCCACCTCTGCTTGCCAGAGAACACCTTCTGAAGATTGCAAGTGTCTGTGGGATCACACAATGCTTGTCCTCCTCACCTGGCTTATTTCACCTGACATAATGTCTTCCACATGCATCCATGTTGTCACAGATGACGGAATTTCAGTATTTTTAGGACTGCAGGTTATCCTACTCCACACACGTACTGCATTTCTTTATCCATTCATCAGTTGATGGACAAACTTTTTCCATTTCTTGGCTATTTGAATGGCGCGTTAATCACTGTGGACCCTGAAATTGTGCTGAATTCATGCAGTGGTCATAGTGGTTTTGGGATTTTCTTAATATAAGATCGTCTCATTGCAGTGACAATTTGATTCTCCCCAGTGTGGATGTTCCTTATTTCCTTCTGTCGCTCCATTGCTCTGGCTGGGACATCCATCAGTATGTTGAATGAAAGTGCCTATCTTGGGTAGGTGTCTGTGATAGCTATTTCTTAGTATATTTCATCTGCTTAAAACAAGTTAGTACATGTTTGTAGTACACAGTGATCACAGTCATGTGGAGAGTTCATACATGTATGTAACACATCTTGAGCTTTTAAATTCTCCTTCTCTTCCTTTAACTCCTCCTTCAGCCCTCTCTTGGTCGCCTTCAAAAATCCACTGCCCTCCTTTCTATTATCTGCTTTTTATTTTGCTCTTTTTTTTATTTGGTATTTATTTATTTATGTGGGTACTGGGGATTGAACTCACGGCCTCACACTTGCCAGGTAGGTGCTTATGCTGCTGAGCTAAATTCCCGGCCCTATTTTGCTCTTTAAATTATCTTTTGAGCTCATGTAAGGGAAACTGTGTAACCTAGTGGGTCTAATTCCTTGTAACCTCATGGTCTCCAGGAACCTCCATTTTCTTACACATGATTCAAATATACACTTCTTTTTGGAAGAACAGTGCACCACTGTGCATACAGACCACATTTTCTTTACCCATTCATAGTTGGTAGGCCTACAGCCCCTTCCAAGCTTGGTCATTGTGAGTGGTGCTGCTGTGAACGTGGCTGTGCTGTGTCACTGTGATGTGATGTCTCTGACTCTCTGGGTTGAAAGCAATTTCTAGCTTTAGGTTTTTGAGGCACCTCCATACTGATTTCCATAGTGCTTGTGCTGGTTTACCTTTCTGTCAACCTTGTAAAAAAGGTTCCTTCTCCCCAGCAAACTTACTAGCATTTGTTATTACTGGGTGGCTTGTTTTTTATGGCGGCCATTCTCTATAAAGATGGAGCCTCAGGGTTGTTTTCACCGGCATTTCATAACGACCAGAAGTGCTGGACATTTTTTCGTGTATCTGTACTTCTGAGAAGTGTCAATCCATTTCAGTTGCCTTTTGTGTGTGCTTATGTGCTTTAAACAATTTATTTAACTGAAGTACCGTACAGTGACTTTCATTTATTTTGATACATTCTTTTCGCATGGTGATTTACAGGATCTTTAAAACAACATAAATATTTGGTCATTTTTGTATACACTACACAATATCTCTGCAGTATCTTTCAGCAAGAAAAACACTGAAGAGTAAAGGCCACACACTATTACCTAGGGACAGTGAAAATCTGCTCCAAATATTTGTTTCTGAGGGAAAGTCACCACACACCTGTTCAATTAAGAAAACCATGCTTACAACACAGGGCAATTTTTTATGTTTAAATAGGGCCTCTGACAGCCAGCTGCTAATGAGGTGCTGAGTCACCGAGCTCCATCCCCAGCTTGTACCGTGAATTCGCAGGGAATGGGTTCCAGCAGCCCGGTGCCCAGCTGAGCCCAGGAACCTTTCTCTTTGGCTTCCTTCCTTTTCTGATCGGTTTCCTTGACACGGTTCAGGAAGCAGCCTTGACTCCTTGGTGTTTAATAAGCTTGATGCTCGGCTGGGGATTTAGCTCAGCGGCATAAGAACCTGCCTTGCAAGCTGGCGGTCGTGAGTTGGATCCCCGGTACCGGAAAAAGAAAAAAATAAGCTCAGTACCCATCTTAACCCTCTTGGCAGTGAGTCCTTAACTGCTAGTTTACAGCAGTGACAGAAGCATGCTGCACGGCACGGCAGACTCCTCCAGATTTGCATGGTGGCAGTTGTGTAGTGTTATTTTTTGCACGGCACCCATTCGCTTAATGTCTACAGCAGCACCATTTTTGTGGATTTGCATTATGTGGCTTTCTGAAAGGTCTAGAGAACACATCCCGGGTTCCCCTCTTCTTTCCCTTCGTATTCAGCATTTTGGAAAGTTACTGCAAGATAATAATCCTGTCTGAAAGCGAGCTGCCCATTTTTTTGACTGGATTGAACATAAACTGGACATTGCCATACTCTAAGAACAAATAAAAGCTACAAACAATAGGGAGGAGATTTGCAATACAATAAATACCTATTAAATGTAAAAACTATACAACAATAGAGGATAATTTAAAGGTAGTAGCATAGAGTCAATTAAATATCTAAAGATTAATAAGACATCAGTACTAATAAAATGGACAGAGTAGGGAAGAGAAAAATTAAAGAAGTTAAATTTTGAAATGTTAAAAAAAAGTGCTGGGGATTGTTGTATTAAGATGCCAAAAAATTAAAATAGTTAATTAAAAGATAGTTATTAGCAAAAATAGTTAAAAGGATAGTTATTAGCACTATTGTCATTCTGTGCTGAGCTCATTACCCTAGTAACCAAGCACCAACCACATAGTTATAGATAAACTGACTGCGTCCTTATGCTGTTCTGTAATGCATCGCCCCCCCCCCAAGTAACCTGTGTGCTGTGTCAACTTTTGTTCCCCTTGTAAGGGACAAATGATGCTGTGTCAACCATTGTTCCCTGTACGAGAGACAAACGTTCCTGGAATTGGCAGACCAAGGGCTATGAGTTGGCTAACCACCCACCGTGAAATGCCTCTGACCTCAAGCAAAGAGGAACATAGGCCCACCTTGTTTCTGCTTCTCATCACTATGTCCTTAATGACCAATGAGCTAATCATAAATGAACTATAAAAATCAATCAGAATTCTAACTCAGTCACACAGCTTTGCAAATTCCATCTGCACTGTGTCGCTGGGCCAGCTAAAATAAAAGCGCTTCTTTTTAAAATGACGTCATCTTGCCCCATTTTTCATCTCAGGGGGCCTTTTTGGGCAGTACAACAGGGATTTAGCTCAGAGGCACAAGTGCCTGCCTGGCAAGTGGAAGGTCCTGAGTTCAGTTCCCAGAAGAAAAACCCCTCCAGGACCAAGCAAAAACAAATGGCTGTGTGAAAACATGCCCTCAGATTCAGAAGACATCCAAATAGGTCCTCTTTCTCTTCTTCTCTACTCCTTCTCCTTTTCATCTTTGATGTAATGGAAGAAGAGGAATGAAAGGCAATGCCCAGAACTCTAAGATCTAAGAACTGTTCCTTTTTTGTAATTTTTATTTTAAAAAGAATAAAACCAAGCAAAACAAAGCAGAATAAAGCCAATCAGAACAAAGTAGTGTGACACAGGATTTCAAAACAAAAAGACAGGAAATCAGCAGTGACTGCCAGAATGCCTCCTGTTGTCCTCAAAACAGCTGCCCGTACCTTCAGACACAGTAAAATCAAGCACGACAGAACAGAACAGGACCTTAAAACAAAACAATACAGGACTCCAAAACAAGGTAAAGTAAATCCCAAATGGCTACCATTATATGTCTTGTTATGTTTGAAATAGCTGCCCATGTCATCAGACATGATAATGTCAAGCAAGACAAAACAGAATAAAACCCAGCAAAACAAAACAATGAAATAATACAGAACATCAAAATAAGGTGATACGGAATTAACAGTGGCTGCCCCTTCAGAAGGAGGTCCCCACAGATGCCTCCTTGCGTACTGTGATCCTCTGAGCAGATGGCTGCACTGCGGGCTGCAGGCCTGCAAGGCCAGGGAGACCCTGAACCCTACGGCGTTAAGCTGTGTTTCACTTCGCCGGCCCCTCGCCTGTGCTCACAGGCGCAGTGGGGCCGCTCGGCTCTGCTTGTCCCTCAGCCTGCGTGCCAGAAGGGCTGGCATCTAGTTCTCCTCCTGGCAGCCCACACGTGGCACCAACTCGCA